CATCGAAAACGAAACAGACGCATTTACTGGCAGCTCAGCTTTTTTTTGGGAAAACGCTCAGACACGTGGATTTTGTTTTCGAGGGAGACACAAGTTTGGCAAAAAATCACGCTAACACGTGCAGCCCCCTGGGCGGGGGTGACACCAACCCTAAAATCTTAAATGGAACGGGGGGTCGAGTAATACCTTATTTTAAAGGTCTTTCAATTCCCTTTATAATGATGTAAAATACATGAGTTCAGTAGTTTTGAAGATTTTTTTATTTAAAGCTTAAAGTAGACTTTAATAGGTACCTCAGATTAGTTTGTACTACTTTCAGAAGAAATTTGACTAAAAGAATTTACTTAATAAGTAAATGCTTTTCTTCATTACGCCCATGGTTTGTTTATCATTTTGTTGTTGAAAATAGCTACTGGAGCGTTTTTTGTGGCAAAAAAGTTATTTCTTGAAGAAAGATAAGGAAATATCTCGTACTTATTTTAAATAGGAATTTAGTACATAGTTTGCGATTTATTTGACCAAACTATGTTGCTAAAATAACTTGTAGGTAACGCTTTATTACATAAATTAACCATGGTATATTCCACAGCAGAAAGAGTTGAAATTATCGAAATATTTTTCGGAAATAATCAGTGCGCTAATAGAACAGCAGAAATATTCAATGAGCGACATGAGAACAGTAACGTGCATCGATAATATGTTCTAGAACTCGTAGCTAAATTTCGGAAAACTGGGTCAGTCGCCAATAAAAAACGCAACATTGAAAATCCCATAAGGAACGAAGCAATAGAAGTGGGGGTTTTAGGGCAAGTTTATGTAGATCCTTCGTTAAGTACCCGCAAATTGGAGACTGTGTGTGGTGTTAGTCGACGTACTGACCAAGGGACTCTAAAGGCCCATAGTTTTCATCCCACCACATTACGCATTACGTGTTCGACAATATTTAGGTCAGACGTTTCCAGATCGATGGATTGGTAGAAGAGGTGCCATTGAATGGCCCCCAAGATCGCCAGATTTATCACCTTTGGATTTCTTTATGTGGGGCATTTAAAAAGCAAAATCTATGTTACTCAGCCAACTTCATTAGAAGACCTGCGACAAATAATTGTGAATGAGTGCCTTCAAATTACTGCTCAAATATTGCAAAATGTGCGGCAACGTTTTGAGCAAAATCTTTATTATTGTATGGAGAGTCATGGTAGCCATTTTCAACATTTACTTGCCTAACGGGTCAGTTCATTTTTCATTTTTAAATTACTTTGCTTCCAAATGTAATGATCGCCACTAATGATGATGTATTAGTTTTATTTAAGCTTTAAATCTTCAATACTACTGGACTGAAGTACATTAATTTTATATCATTATAAAGGGAATTGAAACACCTTTAAAATAAGATATCACTCGACCCCCCTTTCCATTTAAGATTTTGAGGGTGGTGTCACCCCCACTTAGGATGCTGCACGTGCGTCTGTTTCGTTTTCGATGCGCCACCCTGTATATTCTGATGCAGATGTATTCCAGTGACTTCTCGAACAGCGTCAGTGTATGTCTTGGAATACTTAGACTCTCACCTGCCCTTGTATTATAATGTGTGTTGATGTTTTTGTTCTGTATAAATTTTGTTTTGTTTGTATGTGTGAAAAGGGCGCACTTACAAATATGAATGCTTGGTAGAGTCATGATGTTTTTACTTCTGAAGATCTCTCTGCACGATTCTCTTCTACGAATGTTGAATATTCTCTTCTGTTGAACAAATGATCTAGAAACTGAAGTTGATTGCCCCCAAATTATGATGATTCTTGATAAATGTGAGTGGACGAGGGCATAATATAATCTAGTAAAGTCTGATAATCAAAACTTGAGCTTAAAAATCGCATAATATGATTGGTTCAACTTTTTACACAAACTGTCCATGTGTTGTTTCCAACTGAGCTTTGCATCCATTTCTATTCCCAAGAATGTCGTAGTTTTAGATGCCTCATGATTTGCTAGAATAGGGGCGTTTGTATAAAAATGTACAACATCTGGCTTTTCGAGGTTTAAACCTTTCATTTTACCTTTCACTTCATTTATTTTTGCAATAATGTCATTGCGTGTAGTTCCACTGACAAGAACTGACGTATCATCCGCATAATTTGTTACAAATCCAGGGAGATGCAAATCACTTATACAGGTGGTCCATAAGTCCTTTGAAATTTCAAATTTGAATAAAATTTAACGGGTGAGCGTGAGCGGCGCGGGCGAGGTGGGGGCAGTATCTTCAGTGTCTGGGAATTCAGTCGCCATGGAGTGTTTCACTGGAGCGGATCGTGCTTTTTGTGTGCGCGCGTTTTATCAAAATAATGATTCGGCAACCGTTGCGCGGCGTAAATATCGAGAATACCACAATTTACACAATTTTACAAAGTGTCCAACAGCTCAAACGATTAAGAACTGGGATGCTAAGTTCGAAGAGACTGGTTCGACGTTAGATAAACAGCGGTGGGGTCGACCAAGGACAACTCGTATTGAAGAAAACATCAACATTGTGGCACAGTCTGTTCGTCAAAATCCTACCCAGTCTACTCGTAAGCGTTCCAGTGCACTAAACGTTCCCAGAACATCTTTACAGAAAATCCAAGACGTAAGCATCAGAAGCCCTTACACAGCCCTAAAGTTACAGTTTGGGCTGCTATGTCAGCGCATGGCATCGTAGGCCCTTATTTTTTTGAGGACGACAGAGGTCGCGCATTAACTGTTACTTCGGAGCGGTATGTAGCAATGATAGAAGAGTTTTTGACACCAGCGTTGCAGAATTTTCCAGGCTATAATACGCAGACCTGGTTTCAACAGGACGAAGCAACTGCCCACACCTCCAACACTTCTATGCCCGTCGTCTGTCAACTTTTTCCCAGCAAAGTAATTTCTCGAAGAGGAGACATTTCCTGGCCACCACGTAGTCCAGATTTGACCCCAATGGACTTCTTTTTATGGGGCTACCTCAAGAGTAAAGTGTACGACACCACTCCGCGATCAGTTGATGTCCTGAAAGAAAATATCCGAAGAGAAATGGCAAGCATTACAGTGTTGACTTGCCGCGCAGTCATCGACAATTTTAGACGTCGTTTATATGAGTGCCGTGATCGTAATGGATTGCATTTAGACGATGTGATTTTTAAAACATACATATAATTCCCATTTAATAAAGATGATAACAAAATATAATAATTCTTCATAATGTAACTAGTTTGGTTTTATTCCTTTTTTTCCAGCTCAAAGGACTTATGGGCCACCCTGTATATATAATGAATACAAGGGGTGCTAAAACTGAGCCTTGCGCTGCTTCAATGTCGATACTGTACGTTTCGGAAGTAATGCCATTAAGTTTTGTTTTGAATTTCCTGTCGGACAGGAAAGACACTACCCGATCTAATATAAAACCCCTTAAACCTGAATAAAATAATTTTTCCTCGAGAAGTCCAATGTCAATTGTATCGAAAGCTTTCGATAGGTCAAAAAAGATATCGAGCTGTTCATAAAGGGTGTTTTTTCAGAGGTATAGAACTTTAAATTGCAATAAAACAACGATGGATTATTCGATTGACATTATTTTTTTTATTCGAAAGATAATCTTGTGGCATTACATTTTAAATATGATTTCTGGCATACGACTGCCACCGCTGGCTCGGATGTAGTCCAATCTGGACGTCCAATTTTCGATGACTTTTTCCAACATTTGCGGCCGTATATCGGCAATAACATGGCGAATGTTGTCTTCCAAATGGTCAAGCGTTTGTGGCTTATCCGCATAGACCAATGACTTCACATAGCCCCACAGAAAATAGTCTAGCGGTGTTAAATCACAAGATCATGGAGGCCAATTCACAGGTCCAAAACGTGAAAATAGGCGGTCACCAAACGTGTCTTTATAATTTAATGTTTAAACATTATTTCATGTAAATGTTGGCCGCGGCTCCGCTTTAGATGGCCCATGCGCAAGGTTCAATTTTGGCACACTCTCTCCAACATATCGGCCGGTATCTCACGAATAAATGCTGCAATATTGGCTTCCAGAGCGTCAATCGTTGCTGGTTTATCCCTGTACACATTAGCCTTAACATGGCCCCACAAGAAATAGTCCAACGGTGTTAAATCACACGATCTAGGCGGCCAATTGACGGGCCCCAAACGTGATATAAACTGTTCACCGAACTCGCCTCTCAATAGGGCCACTGTTTCGTGTGCGGTGTGGCATGTGGCATCATCTTGTTAAAACCACATGTCAGCCAAGTCCAGCTCTTCCATTTTGGGCAAAAAAAAGTTTATCATCGCACGGTAGCGCTCGCCATTCACAGTTACGTTCCGCCCATTGTCGTCTTTGAAGAAGCACGGCCCGATGATGCCACCGGCCCATAATCCACACCAAACAGTGATTTCTTTCGGGATGCATTGGTAGCTCTTGCAATGCTTCTGGCTGGTCTTCACTCCAGATGCGACAATTTTGCTTGTTAACGTACCCATTCAATCAGAAATGAGCTTCGTCTCTGAACACAATTTTTCGATAAAAATGTGGATCTTCCTCCAACTTTGCCAGCTCCCATTCACCAAATTGGAAACTTTGGGAGGTCGTGTGGCTTCAATTCTGGCACCAGCTGTATCTTATAAGGTTTTACACCCAAATCCTGTCGCAAACAGTAACAAAGGCCCAATTGCTGCGAACGGCGGCGAATCGACATTTCATGGTCATCACTAACACTGGCGGATACAGCCGCAATATTTTCTTCAGTCCTCACTCTACGTCTGCGTGTTGGTGGTTTAATGTCCAATAAGGTAAACTGGGTTCGAAATTTAGTCACAAGCTTCCGAATAGCTCCCTCAGTAGGCCGACCAAATTGCCCATAAATTGGAAGCAGTGCTCGATGCACTCTCTTAACCGAGCATGAATTTTGATAGTAAAATTCAATAATTTGCAAGCGTTGTTCGTTCGTAAGTCGATTCATGGTTAAATTATAGACCAAACTGAACAAGTTTGACAATGACACAAGACACGATTTACGCGTCATCTGTCAAAAACAGTGTTGCCAAAAAGATACTAGCAAAAAAATCACCCATTATTAAAGCTACAAAAAAGGAAGTGACGTATATTTTTTGCCAATAATATTCGCTAAGGTGCCCACAGAGACGCCTCTGGACCTAATAATTTTAATCTATTTAGGGCTAAATTAGCATCTTAAACCGCAAAATTTCAACAGAATCGCGTAAACATTTGCATTTCCGGACCCATGTTTATAGTAACTTTTTTTCATACGTTTTAAGCACCCTCTAAAATATCTCCGTCTCTTTTTCGAACAGCCTGCGATAGCTGCTTATCTTGCAAATAAATCGAATTAAGAAATGTATTATGGTATGGATATATAAATGTTAAAATATTCAAAGGTCAATGCAAAATCTATAAATAGTAACAATGCCACTATGATTTATTTTTCATAAAATCCAAATGTTGTTTTATAACTGCTTCTAGGTGCCTATGGATATTTTTCTTTGATAAAAGTATGCTCTCAATAAATTTCCCTTTTCCTTTCTATTTCATACCTTTCAAGGAAACTAGCCGGTTTAACGGTGTTCGTCACAGGGTCTAGCAGGGGCATAGGAAGAGCTGTAGCTTTAAAAGTAGCCAAAGATGGAGCCAATGTAGTAGTAGCTGCCAAGACAACGAAAGATCGACCTGATCTACCTGGAACTATTTATTCAGTATGCGAAGAAAGTAAGAGAAATTAAGGCAGTTTATCTTTATTTACCCATAAACATTTAATGAGTAAGCGATGATCTAGAAGATAAAATCCATCAAGCAATGTCAATGCACCACTGCTCGTCATCCTCAAAATGTTTCTGAAAAGTGCCGTTATTTAAGAGACCTTTGACAGCAAAATATAGCATAATTGACTTGTTTTCAAGCATTGTAATGGAATACGAATCGATAGAAACATGTAAAATGTGGGCGCATATTTTATCCTTTGCTTCAGGGTGCGCAAATCTCGGAAGCCGGCCTTGACTATTATAGACCTATTTCTATATATAACCACCAGAACAATAGGAGTCAAAAACATTAAATAAAAGTAGCTCACATATATTCATACAAATAAAATGTTTGTATATAACATACAGGCTGGCCCAACGAAAAGGTAGCACCCGCATTTATGAGTCTCCTAGTATATTTTTGGAAAAACACTTGGACACATCAATATTGATTCGTCGTCTTTTCATGTATTGTCGTACAATACAGGGTGATACAAAAATAAAATATTACGTTACACTTTACATTTTTAAATGCAAACTCCATTTTTTTTAATTTTTAGATTTTCCATGAGGTTTTTAATAACTTTTACTTCAACTCCTGAGTACATGCCACTCAAAGCAAATCCAATTTCATGCGGGTCTCCACGGCAGCGTCTTAACCTTACGATCATCATGCGTACCTAGAAAAATTAAAAAAATAATAGCTATTAAAAAAATGTAATGAAAATGGTAAACGAGCGGAAGCGGAGCATTCAAATGGGCTTCTTTTTTCTAGACAGAATCGCGATTCGTCGCTGAAGATGACATTATGCCATTGTGCCTTCTAACATTGCCGTTCTCTGCTCCAGTTCAAACGTTGACGACAGTGGTCCGCAGTCAGAGAAAGCACTAACCGTGGACGGTATGAAAAAAGTCCAAAGGCTCTAATATGGCGATAGAGTGTACGCGAAATAACAAATCTACCTTCTTCTACAAACCATTATTCAGCGATCTGACGCATTGTAGCAAAACGGTCTCGTAGGGCCAATCTATGGTACGCCTCGGTGAACCAGTTGGCCTTCTCCGTGTTTCTCTACCTTCTTCTATCCACACACGACACACACGCATTGCCGTCATTGCAGTACAATATTAATAATATACTAAGTGACATATAAATCCGAACACCCAGTTTAAATGGTTTTATTTTAATAAAATTTTGTAAAAGTACTTAATGAAGCATAATAAGTAAATGATAAAAATTTCAAAATGATTGCACTGCTTTAAAGCCCTTTGACCTTTAATAATGTGTGGATGCACCCTGATGTGCTACGCATTCTCCAACACGCCTAGGCATGCTTCTGATCAGGTGGTCAATGTCCTCCTGTGGTATCTCATTCCAGGCAACCACCAACTCCTCTCGAAGTGCTTCTAGAGTCTGAGGAGGACGTTGCAAATTGAGCAATCGCCTACCCATCATATCCCACACGTGCTCAATTGGGGATAAGTCGGGAGATCTTGTGGGCATGGTAACAATGTGACATCATTATGTTGAAAGAAGTCTATTGTGACTCTTGCAACATGTGGTCGGGCATTATCTTGTTGGAAAGTTGGATCTGCCAGGGTGTCAAGATAGGGTAAAAGATGGGGTTCTAGAACTTCGTGGATATAACGCTGCGCGTTCATGTTACCTCTGATGAAGATTAAAGGTGACCTGGAACCATAAGCTATAGCACCCCAAACCATAACTCCAACAGTGTGATGAACATGTCTTTCAACAAAAAACTGTGGATTCCTCCTTTCACCACGTCGCCTTCTAACCCTGGCACGACCATCGTGCATGCCTAAACAAAATCGAGACTCGTCACTAAAGACAATACTGTTCCATTCCTGATCCCAGAGTGACCGTTGTCTGCACCACTCAAGGCGATTACGTCGGTGTTCTCGAGTTAAAAGGAGGACCCAGTGTGGCCGGTATGAAAACAAGCCAAAACTTCTCATTCGTCGGTAAACACGTCGCATGCCAATAGGTCTTCCATGTTCTGCAAACCATTCATTTGCAATGGACCTGGTAGTGGAGAAACGGTCCCTTAAGGCCAATAATCTTAGGCGGCGATCTTCACGGTCTGTTGTTCTACGGCGGCGTCCAGTGCCCCTTGCTCTTTGCGTACGGCCTTCTCGAAGCCATGCCTGACAACACCTAACCACAGTGTCTACACTTCTTTGCACTCTAACTGGAATTGCCCGAAAAGAAAGTCCAGCTTCCCGAAGTCCCACTATACGGCCCCTATCAAACTCACTAAGTTGATGAAATCGTACAGGTCTCCGTACTCTAGGCATCGTAACCGATCGTAAAGGATGTCAAGAACCAAAATCCGCCAACGTTGATTCTTTACTGCGGCTGAAATATTCATTTTTAGAGCGTTAGTGAATTAAAAAAAAGCAGTATAAAAACCGGAATGTCCAACTGATAAGGCTGAAAATTTTTTCACTTGTTATTTACAGATAAATACATTCACCAACTTTTATTAAAATAAAACCATTTAAACTGGGTGTTCGGATTTATATGTCACTTAGTATAGTATAACTACTCAGCTCTCAGAAACTGCTTTCTTCACAAAAAAACTAAGAGATAACATTTTGACAAAGGTAAATAAAAACAAAGATAACACGTTGACACTGTCGTCATAGCGTGCTTTAAATATCCTAGTCATTATGATGCCAAAAAAGCAAGTTGAGGAAATTATTTTTTCTGGGTGTAACACTTCTATAATGTCGCTGAGTATATTACTGACAGTTTTTCATTTTTAGTTGAAAAAGCAGGCGGTAAGGGACTTCCCTGCAAGGTAGATGTTAGAGACGAAACAACAATACAAAATGCCGTAGACGAAGCCGTGCGAAAGTTTGGTGGTATAGATATTGTAGTTAATAATGCAGCTGCAATTTCAATAACTGATACTGAAAATACTGAAATTAAGGCCTATGACTTGATGCAAAATGTCAACACAAGAGGAACGTTTTTAGTGTAAGCTATATATGGATACAAGCTTAAATTGGAGATTTAAGAAACCCCGATTCTTCCAAATGATAGCCAAAAACAAGACTAAATCTGGTCGAGTTCATTTGAGAGCTACAATTCCTCACGACAATCTATAGGCCACTAACTTAGTTATTTATTTTGTAACAAGAAATCAATAATGCATTTGAACACTTTCAGCTCAAAGATGTGTTTGCCACATTTGAAGAAAAGTAAGCATGCCCACATACTCAATATGTCACCACCATTGAATCTGAACCCTTTTTGGTTCAAGTACCACGTACCATACACCATTTCCAAGTATGGAATGTCTATGTGTGTACTAGGAATGCACGAAGAGTTTAGACCATTCAATATTGCTGTCAATGCCCTCTGGCCTAAGACAGGTATGTAGAATATACACATTTTCTTACAGAAGAAGCAAGTGAGCATTTAGCATTTGTTCTGAACTAGTTAGTTTTTACTTTTAATTCATTTTTCTAAGTGATTGTATCCGTGCGAGGTAGCTTTTCTGGAAAAATATCACATGCAAGTCTATACCAGCGGTACTTTAATGGACAATTGGAGCTAATAATATGAAGCCAACGTACCCTGCAGGAACATCACATTAAATCAACTAATGTCAAAATTACAACTTTTTGTTTATAGATTTTGTACTTTGAGAAACTCAACCAATGCGACTGAAATGTCCGTCACCCAGTAAACATGAATATACATATACCTCACATTCATGGAATGTACGTTTTAGATCCTATCAAAGCAACTAAGAATGCGAGGTACTAGCTTTGTCTCAACCCGTCGTAGAACCGTGCTGGAACGGTGACGAGCTTGCGGATTTAGGAAAAAGTGTTCCAACATTGTCCGTCACAGTAACACAACGGTTCTGCATTGTGTTCCAACTAGAGATGATCGATATATCGGTACCGGCGTCCTTTCCCGGTGACTTGAATGGTCGCCGTTAGTCCCGGCGACCTGATTCTGCATGAAGCAGCGACCCAGATCGCTGTTTGGAAGTATCGGTATCGGTAACCACTGATCGGTAGCTGTAACGCTGTTTCGGTCGCGGTCGCTGCCAGGAAGCATATACACATCGCGATCATCGCGCGGAAAGTACAGGGTCGCTACAGCGTAGCCTGACCTATTTTGTTAGTTTTTATTGTTATTGTTGTGAGTTGCAAGCACCTTATAAATATGTCAAAGCGCCAAAAAGATTAGTGATATTTGGAATTTTTTTTCAGTAAGCGGTAAAGTTAACACTCTGACTGCCGGCATACTGTTTTATTCTTGTTTTATTTTGTTCTGTCACTCGTTTATGACTGACATACTGTTAGGCATTATTTGGCGGCGTCAGTCATTTATGTCTGACAGCACCAGAATCATACATGGCCTCGTCAGGCTGTTTAGTCTGACATTATATTGAATTGTTAATCTCCATTTGGATCACGGCGCTTGATTTTGAAAGTCTAAAAAACCTGGCGGCGCCTAAATAAAATTCCAGATATTGTAAATTAACCAAACATTTTTATTTCAAACTTATTGTATTAGCAAGAAAAACCAAACATTTTTATTTCAAACTTATTGTACTAACAAGAAAAAATAGATATACAGGGTGTCCGCAAAGTTGGGGTTTTCCTTTTCAGAAACAACTACCCTTGAAATAACAAAGGTAATGTGTAGTGAAACGAGGGCGACCAAGTAAAAAAAAATAAAGGAAAAAGTACTCACTCTCCAGTTGACGAGAAGGGCTAAGTACGTCTCTGCCCGAAATCATACCGCTCCAACAGAAAATGAAATCATCTGATGCGCTACCGAGCAGACGCCGCCGCCGGCGGTAGTGCAGACCAAACAAATAAGAAGGCGTTACCGCGTTTTCAGTTTTTAGGTAAACGTACTTTATAGGTATTTTTCGAAGTTATTGCCGTTTGAATCAACAACACAGGTGCGTGCACGACGTAGTCAAGCATCGGTGCAGGCTTTGAGAATGGAGTCCCTCCCCCGAATGAAAGCACCAGCTTGTTCAATTCTGAGACGAAGTTCGTCAACCGTATGCACTTCAGTTTTGTACACTAAGCGTTTCATTTCTCCCCAAAGAAAAAAATCACATGGTGTTATGTCTGGAGATCGCGGAGGCCACGCTACGGGTCCATTACGTCCGATCCACCTATTCGGAAATTATTCATCCAAAAACTCACGCACTTCGCGTCTAAAATGGGGCGGTGCACCATCGTGCAGAAACCACATTGATTGTCTTACACTTAATGGCACATCTTCTAACCAGGAAGGCAAAATGTTGCGTAAAAAGTCTAGGTATTGTATCCCGTCCAATCGATTTGGGAGAATAAATGATCCAATGAGCATACCGTTCACCATGCCAGCCCAAACATTCACCGAAAATGTTTGTTGAAAATGTGCCCGACGGACAGCGTGCGGATTTTCTACTGACCAAACATGAGTGTTGCGAAAGTTATTTACCCCATTACGCGTGAACGTAGATTCGTCTGTCACCAATATGCACTTCAAAAAGTCCGGATTATTGTCATGTTGATGCAACAACCACTCACAAAACCGCACTCTTGCTGGAAAATCGTCAGGTTGAAGGGCTTGTACACGTTGGACGTGAAACGGATACAGCCCCTCTTCACGCAGCGTTTGCCACACTTTAGTTTTTGATACTTGCACTTCTCTAGCCACGTCTCTAGTGCTTGTTGAGGGATTCTCGTCTACGCGATTCAGTAGTTCTTCCTCAACTTGCACCATTCGTTGTTGTCTAGGCCTCCCTCTGTGCCCACCTCGAAATTCCTCCAAATGGCCCGTATCCCTGACTCTCTGGACCAGGTACACAAATCTGCAACACCTTGGATGATGTCGTCTAGGGAAACGATCTGCATACACTCGCGACGCCTCTGTAGCATTTTGAAGACATTCGCCATAAATTAACAACATATCAACGAGTTCATTATTGGTGTATGAGTTTTCCATTATTTTTTTTTTGAAACGCAATCGATTATATGGGTTCGTTTACCTCTACACGCGTGACCGTAACCGTCGGTTGAAGGTTGCATACTGCCCTGACACACTGACCCCGACCCAGTTCTGTCGTCGGGTTGAGCTAGTGTCCTAGTACCAGTCGGGGATATCGCGGGTCGCGGCTACAGGAGGGTATTCAGATATTTTTGATGTTGCAGAGCCCTTTATCTCGGTTCCCTTAAGACATTGGTGTATATGGTACTAAGAAAAATTGCTTATGTTTTCAAGATCTACACGTCGTGTAAAGGAAAACCCAAACTTTGCGGACACCCTGTATATTATTATATATATTTTTATGATTTTATGTGTTTTGTGCTCAATATTGTTAAAAACAAAAACCTTAAATACAGTTTAATTCAAATCCTCAGGAACCTAAACATCTACACCTCGTTAATATCAATGGATAACCGCCGCCAAATATCGAGTAATTTAATCAGCGCCAGGGACTCGCTGGCTGCTGGCAGCGACCATAGATAAGCAGTGACCTAAAGCGCTGCTAAATCTACCGGCGACTTTAAGGTCGCTGTCACCGGTATCCCGGCGACTTGCAAGTCGCTGCTAAGATCATCTCTAGTTCCAACCCGTTTTGGGATCGATTTGGGACGGTGATATCGGTACTGTACCTGCACTGAACCGAGAACTAACCATGCGTAGAAAAGCTATAAATCAAAACTCTGACCAAAACAAACGGCAAATGGCGGTTAGGTTAGATCAGTTAGATGATTCTGACAGCTACCAGCAATGTTGCCAGATCGACAAATACCAGCTCTGTAGCTTTGTTGGAGTGAATGTACCTAAGTATTTGCGACTTCATACAATAATAAAAGTAATATACCGGCTTTATGAAGGGCTAAATTTAGCCAAAGGCTATTTGTATATTTAAAATGTACATTACACAAGAATTCAGAAAAAAGTAATACACAGAATCAAAATCAGTATCCTCAAGAAAAAGATGTCTTCTCTGAAATAGTGTTGAATAGATGAATGGTGACGAGATATGCTCAAGTTATATCTCTTTGTCTTAACTTCAGAAAGTGTAAGTTTTTCAAATGAATATGGTAGGGTAGAAGTCGTTACTAATCCATAGACAAATGTAAGATAGACATAGTAGAGTTTTCTTTCCACAGTCAGCTAACCAGTTTTATTTCATCGTTGCTGATATATTTTTTAGTCCATAAACAAATCTACATTAGGGATTTTGAACTTATTGCAATGCATCTTTATCACCGCCCAGGTAACTGTAATATACTCGTAAGATATCAGAGTAATGTACCACAGATATAAAACCAATGATTCACACTTTTAACGATAGCACTTAGTATATGTTATTCTCTCTTCATGGCTATGCCGAAAAATTGGTAGATCAGGCAACATTGGCTATCCTGTCAATTTTGAGGCACAAAACAATTCCGAATCCGTTCCAACACTTTTTACAGTCCAGAAACAATCCTAGAACCACGACAGGCCGCGCATGCGAGTAACACGATAATCGAACGGTTCCAGTACGATACTAGCACTAAAGGTTGGGACAGAGCTCATGTATCTGGGAAAATATTCATCGTAGAGGCTTGCGGCATGAAAAGATCTTTCTAAAACGGTCAAGAGGGGCACACACACACACGCACTAATGCAAATATTCTCATAACGTGTGAATATGTCCAAGGGCACATTCTTAGAACATATTTTCATTTGATATGAATATTCTTACAACGTGCTGTAATATACTCGTAGCATATCCTATTGATTAGCGTATTTACTTCCTGATATGTCTATTAGAGGACATTCTAGGAACATCCATTGCAAGTGATTTTGCTTAATGGGCACATGTTCTGATTATTGGTCAGGAATAGCGCGATGTGCCTCGTGTTCTATACTGATCTGCCACTTTGTTTTCCAGTGTCTTTTCCATGTCATACAATATCAATGATGTTTCTAGCAATTCGTACAGCAGCCCTTGACATGCTGCTGGAAGGCACAGATACAAAATCCTTCAGTCGCAAGCCAGAGATGGTAGCTGATGCAGCTTATGCTATTATTACCCAGGACCCAAAAAAATGCACTGGAAATTTCTTTGTGGATGAAAAAGTGCTCAAGGATGCGGGGATTACTGATATGACTCAGTATCTATACGTACCAGAAAACCACGACAAGATCTTGCCGGATTTCTTCTTCGACGGGGCTATACCTATTTTATCCGGTAAGTGTACGAATCTTCGCAAGTAGAAAGCCTGATGCTATTGCAACCTAGTCATTTTAGAACATTTTCGATGATCCTAGAACTTCAGTATGATATGTATGATAACCCGAACACAAAACATATACAGGGTGACTTTGAAGTTGAGTCATTAATTTTCAGATAGTGATTGTAGAAGGAAGATAAACCAAAATGTGTGTAAAAATAAAAAAAAATTTTTACCTTGTTTTATAAAGTATCCTCCCGACAAGTATTGCAGTGCGGACCTGTATTTGATCGTGCGGTCTTGGAGCACCGGCATGCCCTCCCCTGTGAGGTCTTAAGTCACCTGATTCACGAGCCCTTTGTACTACATTAACAAAGGCACGACGGGTTGGTTGCACTCGATTGGGAAACCGATTTTGTAAATAAGAATCATGTCCACAAGTTCAGCATTTTCGTAAACATGTGCCATTTTTTAGTTCGTTTGAGCCACGCAACAAATACCACTATTCACTCACGCGTTACCGACTGAATACAACTAAAAACATCGTGATAAGCGTTTCAAATTCTTTCGCTTTTTTGTTTCCGATGCGATGAACCGATGCGGATTATATCCGTTGTTGCCAAACACGAGCACATAATATTATTATTGAGACAGGGCGGTACTCAAACTTCTAAAGGGCTATAACTTTGTTACTTTAATTTTACCACAAAAATGTTAAAGGAAAAAAACATTTCTTTTGATCAGATCTACTCACTGTTAAAATAAATGACTCAACTTCGAAGTCACCCTGTATATTCACTGATATATTGTGTTGTGTTGTGTCCAAAACGTCCCTTATGCGAAATACAGGGTTATCCAAATTAAGTGTCCACCATTGGTAACTTTGTTATTAGTAAAAATACAAAGTTGTTTAAATTAGCAAACTAGTAGCATTTTTAACGCTGGTAAAAATGAGAAATAAAAAAAAAACAATTGAGAGTCGTTATTTTGATTTTTTTCAGTAAAATAACATTTTTTTAAATGGAAACCCCTGTATATTATATTTTTTTCTGTTAAAGCATCAAATTTTAAACAAAAAAGTTCATAATGACTTTTCCGCTAAAGTCAAAAATAAAGTCAAAATAACGATAAATATTTTTAATTATTTGCAGTATTATAATATTAAGACGGCTATGAAAACAACATGGCGTTCGCGATTTGACAGCATTAAGATAAGCCGCAAATTGTTAAACTGGACATACTCGCAACTAGAAGGCTTTGGAAAACAATGATAAAATCAAATAATGTCAAACATTAGTGTAAATACTTGTTTATAAGCTTTATTGTGTCATTAATTTAAAGAAAAATTTTCTCCCATGAAGAAAAGTGTGATATGTTAGAATGCTATTTAGTGTGCAGAAAATCCTCCTTGAGAGCAAGAGAATACTACAGTGAATTATATCCCGCTCGCATTCAACCGTATGAACGATATTTTCTGAGACTTTATCGAAAATTTAGGGGCAACGAAAATGTTTTTGCTAAAACAAGGGCAAAAAAAGAATTCATAATAAGCGAGGCCACGGAAATTGCAGTTATTGGATATTTTGAAGCTTATCGTGAGAATTCAATAGCAGATATTCTCAAGGACTCTAATTTCAGTTATGGTACTGTTCAAAGGATTTTAAAAAAATACAAATTTATTCCGTATAAGTACCGACCAGTTCAAACGCTTTTGGCAGGGGATCCAGAGAGAAGACTTGTTTTTTGCCATTGGTATCTTAGCTTCTGTCGCCAAAATGTAAATAACTTTCGTTACCTTTTATGGACAGATGAATTAAATTTTTCAAATTCTGGAATGTTTAATAGAAAAAACCACCATTATTGGTCAAGAGAAAATCTTTTGTTAGTACATCCAAGAGGCCCACAAGTCCGTTTCAGTTTCAACGTTTGGTGCGGTATAATTGGTTCAAAAATTGTTGGCCCGTTCTTTTATGAGGGAACCCTAACTGGTGAAAGATATGTGGAATTTATGTCAGAAATTCTGACTAATTTCTTAGACGAATTGGATCTTATAAGTAGACATCATCTGCATTTTCAGCAAGATGGCGCACCTGCCCACAACTCCAGAGGTACTTATCATTTTCTAAGTACTACTTTTAATGATCAGTGGATAGGAACAAATGGCCCGATACAGTGGCCTCGCAGATCACCAGATCTAAACCCACTTGATTACTTCTTGTGGGGTTACTTAAAGAACCAAATTTACAAGCGAAGGTACGATAACCTTGACGCGTTAAAGACTGCAGTTAGGGAAAAGATAACCCAGATAGATGGTAGGACCATACTTAAGACAGTTCGAGCAGTTGAAAAAATAACGACTCTCAATTGTTTTTTTTTATTTCTCATTTTTACCAGCGTTAAAAATGCTACTAGTTTGCTAATTCAAACAACTTTGTATTTTCACTAATAACAAAGTTACTAATGGTGGACACTTAATTTGGATAACCCTGTATACTCAGTGATAAAGAGAACACAGAATACCCAGAGAGCATTTATTTTTCAATTCATTCTGTACGTCCATGTTGGATATTCTGAGGATGAAAAAATAAAAGAAATATTGTCATGTTTGGTTTTTTATACCGAAGCAGCCGCATCGGTAGAAACCTAAATACCGGGGCACCGCTACTGCTATAAAGAGCTTAGACCTTGTTAATCCGATATTTGAACTGCTTAAGGTTATTGGAACTAGGAAAAAGGAACAGTCGTACCGACCAGTTCTGAATGTATGACGTTCGACACGGTTTGGATGGGAGACCTAAATCTGGCGGGTCTGTCTGGTAGCTGCTCTTAGTTTAACAAACAATGGTCGGAGTATACGTGTATTTCGTATTTAAAATACTTTGGGGATTGCGTATACGTCAACTGAAAGGACATATATTAATAGCTTGCTGCTTTCTAGGTTACTATGAAGCTAGAAAAAAAGGCAACAAAATAGAAGAAAAACCAAATGCTGCGGCACACGGCGATGTTGCTAGCCTGTTCAAGAAAATTGGTAGCTCAATTTCACCAGAACTGGTACAAAAAACAGGAGCTATCTTTGTTTTTAATTTGACCGGTCAAGAAACAGGAAAGTGGTTAGTAAAAAAAGAAACTCACTTTGCTCCAATGGGCGTTAATTTTCTGTATAAGACTTGATCGAGACTTCGTCCACTAAACAAGACGCGTAAACCAGCTTGCTCCACCTGTCACAAAAAGTTTGACTGTCGTTTCTGTGTAGTTCAGTGTGCGACACGCATTTCAGATAATTCAGTCCTTCTATACTAAGTGACATATAAATCCGAACACCCAGTTTAAATGGTTTTATTTTAATGAAGCATAATAAGTAAATGTTAAAAATTTCAAAATGATTGCACTGCTTTAAAGCCCTTTGACCTTTAATAATGTGTGGATGCACCCTGATGTGCTACGCATTCTCCAACGCGCCTAGGCATGCTTCTGATCAGGTGGTCAATGTCCTCCTGTGGTATCTCATTCCAGGCAACCACCAACTCCTCTCGAAGTGCTTCTAGAGTCTGAGGAGGACGTTGCAAATTGAGCAATCTCCTACCCATCATATCCCACACGTGCTCAATTGGGGATAAGTCGGGAGATCTTGGTGGCCATGGTAACAATGTGACATCATTATGTTGAAAGAAGTCTATTGTGACTCTTGCAATATGTGGTCGGGCATTATCTTGTTGGAAAGTTGGATCTGCCAGGGTGTCAAGATAGGGTAAAAGATGGGGTTCTAGAACTTCGTGGATATAACGCTGCGCGTTCATGTTACCTCTGATGAAGATTAAAGGTGACCTGGAACCATAAGCTATAGCACCCCAAACCATAACTCCAACAGTGTGATGAACATGTCTTTCAACAAATAACTGTGGTTTTCCTCCTTTCACCACGTCGCCTTCTAACCCTGGCACGACCATCGTGCATGCCAAAACAAAATCGAGACTCGTCACTAAAGACAATACTGTTCCATTCCTGATCCCAGAGTGACCGTTGTCTGCACCACTCAAGGCGATTACGTCGGTGTTCTCGAGTTAAAGGGAGGACCCAGTGTGGCCGGTATGAAAACAAGCCAAAACTTCTCATTCGTCGGTAAACACTTCGCATGCCAATAGGTCTTCCGTGTTCTGCAAACCATTCATTTGCAATGGACCTGGTAGTGGAGAAACGGTCCCTTAAGGCCAATAATCTTAGGCGGCGATCTTCACGGTCTGTTGTTCTACGGCGGCGTCCAGTGCCCCTTGCTCTTTGCGTACGGCCTTCTCGAAGCCATGCCTGACAACACCTAACCACAGTGTCTACACTTCTTTGCACTCTAACTGCAATTGCCCGAAAAGAAAGTCCAGCTTCCCGAAGTCCCACTATACGGCCCCTATCAAACTCACTAAGTTGACCGAATCGTACAGGTCTCCGTACTCTAGGCATCGTAACCGATCGTAAAGGATGTCAAGAACCAAAATCCGCCAACGTTGATTCTTTACTGCGGCTGAAATATTCATTTTTAGAGCGTTAGTGAATTAAAAAAAGCAGTATAAAAACCGGAATGTCCAACTGATAAGGCTGAACATTTTTTCACTTGTTATTTACAGTAAGATAAATACATTCACCAACTTTTATTAAAATAAAACCATTTAAACTGGGTGTTCGGATTTATATATCACTTAGTATATTTAGAGAAACAATATTCTGTATTCAATGTTTTTCGGATCATTTTAGAATTATTTTTATTGCTATCGATCTTATCATCATAGTATTTTTCATAGTATTTATTCTTTTCTCTCCTGAGTCGTCATCGCGTTTTAATTTAGACTCCTTGAATATCTGTGAAAACCAGAGTGTTGGTTCTACTCTTTCGTATACTATTTCCTTGAGCATAGCTTATCTCATATATTTATCCATAGTTTGTTCGAAGTAGTTGTCAGCATTATTGATAATTTCAGGTATTATTGTGTTTAAATAGTTTCTCATAACTTTGTGAAATCAATTATATACTGTAATTTCTTTCATTTTATTTTCATTGAACATAAGAGTTCTTTCTCCCAATGTATTGCTCAAACAGCCGGCGCTTTCAGTGAACGAGAAGCCTTTAACTGTATTAGATTGCTTCGTTCTGCTAAGGCTACCATATACAAGCCTGTGTGTAAGTTTTTCTGTCTATTCCAGGTATATTGACTTGAAAAACGAAAATGGAAGTTGTGGACCTGGAGAACCTTCAGTAAAACCCGATGCAACTATCACCATGGATTGCAAACATTTTTTCAGTATGGTCTCAGGGCAGTTAAACCCCGCTACTGCTTTCATGATGAAAACAATGAAAGTTGAAGGAAATATACAGCAAGCTTTGAAACTCGAAAAGTTCGTGGCTATTATAAAGGATAAGCTATGAGGTTCTACAATAGACAATTCTCTATGTTGAGTATATAGTTTTTTGAATAAATGGTTTCTGGGGTGAAATCAAATAATAACCTATCGTCGTTTTGTTCGTCGTACCATACTTGTGGAAGATTTCAATTTTGTTTACAATACCTCAATAAACCTGCGATGCATTTAATTGTTCAGGACCCCGACGAAAACTCATGGAGCATGGATTTTCGCTAGATTTTTTAAGATGTAGTATGTTGTACGAGGGTTGTCACAAATATAAACTTCCCAGCGCTGTATCCCAACTAGCAAAGTAGTGGTATAAGCTTTTGGTAAAAGAACCGTTCAGCCATAAAAGCTCTCTATTGTTGTTGCCTGAACACCAAAATGCTGGCTTAATGTTGTGTGGAATGCAAATTTGCTTTCTGCAACATATTTGCTCTAAAATGAGGTGTTTAAAATATCCTTATAGCATAGTTATACAACATCTTATAGGGCAAATTTTTATCTGTTGCATAAACGTTTATACAACTATTTTATACGGCATATTTGCACGTTAGTCAAAATGGTTGTATTGTGGCATCCATGGTAACGTTTATAAAACAAACCCGAGCCTTGTTGTTTTGCTGTGCAATTTACTACTTTAGCCAACACATTGCTCCCAACGGAAGCACTTATACAACTGTTGTTAAAGGCTGTACATATGCTAAATATGTTGGTAAACAACTTCACCATAACCTAACTTTCCGCTGTAATATTTTTGTAAAATGCCATAACCAATGTTTTAAGACAAACAACGCATGCATATTGGTTCAAAAGGTTGTATCAACTGTTCAAACAAAAGATATAGATCTGGTACAAATTCTGGGTAAATCATTCGACTATGTCGGTATTTCATTTCAGACATTTGTCAAATTGTTGTATAACACCTGCAGGCAACACCAAAATATTCTAATAACCTAAAGACAACATGGACGATGCCATGATTGTACACAACCACTCGCCATATTGGGCAAACATTTATTCCTCTATTTAATATTAAATAATTATGTTTCAGTTCGAAATTACAGATATAAAGAGATAAACATTAGTGTAATTGTGTCTAAATATAGGATTTGTGGAAGATTCAACGCAGATAAGTTCAGTTTTCCATCTTCAAAATCTAGATATACTTTTGATCATTGTCAAAATATGAATCAAATACGAAGCCCGTAGAAATTGGGTAACTAATTTGCACGATAATCACAATAAAATTTGCTGCGTAAGTAATTCAATAGCCCTATATCACAGTGTAGAAGTTTATCGTATACCTGTGTATGAAATTCACAATGGCCGATATGTAAGTAAACAAGATGACTGTAATGTGTTAGTTATATATTCTTCATTTCGTCTATACAATACATAAGAAACGGTTTGGTTGCAATAAAGTAGAATCACGTAACAGAATAGTTGTATAGTTGACAAAAACTGAATCTTACACTGACGCAAATGTCCTATAGCGGCTGCAAGAGGCTTACACTTTTGTTGTATAACTGTTACCTGCAGCCCTTATACAACCTCTTAAATGACTGAAGTGTCCTATTAGGTGTGCCCGTTCCGCTTGTATAGCTGTTCTAAGAGGGTTTTGCCAATGTTCTTACAGTATACAATGCTGTGTAACGAATACTGTATAATCATTCTTGCAACTCTAATAGGAGTGATAATTGTTAGTTGGGATATTTGCCGGGCATGATGCTAGGCGAAATCTGGCAACACCGCCGAGTTCGATGACTCCTCCACCGCGGATCCCAACAAGAAACGCCTATTTGCGATTCTCAGTACCGGCCCGAGAGCCCCGTACAATGGAGGCGATCATCGCCGTCACCGCCAGGTGCGAACTTCGTGCGGTCATCCGATTTTTGCACGCAAAAACGTGACTACCCATAGAAATTCATCGCCACTTATGTGAAGTATATGGGGAAGCGTGTATAAGCGCAGTCATCATGTCCTCAAATGTTGAAGAGAGTGCTCAGACGGACGCATGGACGTCCACGATGAACAACGAAGCAGAAGGCCGTTGATCTCTGAGGTAATTGTGACGAAGATTCAGCCAGGCTTGCTCGAAGATCGACGAACCACAATCCGAGAACTAGCGGTTGAAATTCCTGAGGCTGAGACGGGCAATCCATAACGCAAGACTGCACCACAACAATGCGCATACTCATGTGTCACAACAAAAGAAGGACTTAATCGAGCCATTTGGCACCTATGGATTTCGAACTGTTTCCCAAATTTAAGGAGCACGAGGCGGACGAAGAGTTGCAAGACGCAGTTGCAAAATTTCTAAATGGGCTGGCGCCAGAATTCATTGAGGCGGAGTGCAAAGGCGCATTACACGTCTGCAAAAATTCGTAGAAAAAAATGGCGGCTCTGTGGAAAAATAGATCAACATTTCCAATGCTGAATTTGTTTATCAAATAAAAAATTCCTTGTGCCTGAAAAAAATGTGGTAACCCTATTTTTGAAACAACCCTCGTATCTGTCGAGCGTGTGATATCTCCCAGAACATTATATCCCCAAAAAAATCCTCAAGTAAAAATCTCCCATATTTGGAGGAAAATCCTCCAACGTGGCAACCCTGTCAAAGCACCACTGGTACTCCAGGCGCCAAGTTTCTGGGACGTTTTCACAGCACGAACAGCAAAGCTGTCCTGCCTCCTGATATATAGGGTCTATTTATTTTCATACTGCACATGAGTACGGAAATACAGAGTTTTCAAGATACAGTGTGATAAATTGAAAAAAAATATAATATCTTAAAAAATATTCACTCGATTATGTTGAAATTTGGCAATATTATTTGTTGTATTAATATTTAAGTAGATTAACATTAATAGGTTCAGTGGCGTCCCGGGGGGCACCATAGCGAATATTATTGGCAAAAAAATATACGCCTTTTTTGTAACTTTAATACGTTGTTGGATTAAGCATCTAAAAATACAAATTCTTGTATTTTTTCGTATCTCAACCGTTTTGTTGCATATCACTGGACAAAATTGGTTTATTAATTTTTACTAAGATGATAAGTGCCTTAGAAAACAAAAAATAATTTCTGCATGCAGGTTTGACATATGCGCGTCCAATTCACTGGCTACCCCGCTAACCTGACTTTAATCCAATATATTTTTATTTATGGGGACACCTCAAGACGATGGTTCACGCTACTGCCTTAGAAACAATAGAAGAATTAAGGAATAAAATCGTAAATGGTTACGAAGAAATGAAAAGTAAACCTCGAATTTTAGCTCGAGTTCGTCGTTCAATGATTCGTCGAGTGAGAAGGTGTACAGAAATGGATGGAATATTTGCTGTAGTATTCTTTATGTCATGGTACCTATTGTAAAAGTAGCAATAACACTCTTTCCTAGAGCTTTTTTTTTTGATGTTTTGTTTTACAATGCTATTGTGATTTTTTAGCTAAAATTATTATACCAATTTTGCAATAAAACATTTTTTTTAAAACGAAATGAGATACGAAAAAAATACAAGGAGTATTTTTAGATGTTTATTCAAACAACAAATATTAAAGTCACAAAAAGGCAGTGGCGTACATTATTTTCCAATCATATTCGATAAGATGCCCTCCGGGACGCTACTGAACATAATAATTTCAATCTATTAATTAGCCTCTTAATTTAACAAATAATATTGCCAACGGAATCTTGTAAATATTTTTTAAGATATTAATGAAACAAAACATTTTATTTATCACCTCCTATCTTGAAATCTCTGCATTTCCGGACCCATGTTTATAGAAACTTTTTCTCATATTTTTCAACAAGGAATCACCCTCTAAAATATCTCCGTCTATTTTTCGAACAGCATGTATATGGGGCAAGACACCTGGATAACTATCCAGATCACTGTCATTTCAAAGAAACTATTTATCTGATGGATAATATATACTAAGTGACATATAAATCCGAACACCCAGTTTAAATGGTTTTATTTTAATAAAAGTTGGTGAATGTATTTATGTTACTGTAAATAACAAGTGAAAAAATTGTCAGCCTTACAAGTTGGACATTCCGGTTTTTATACTGCTTTATACGCTCTAAAAATGAATATTTCAGCCGCAGTAAAGAATCAACGTTGGTGGATTTTGGTTCTTGACATCCTTTACGATCGGTTACGATGCCTAGAGTAGGGAGACCTGTACGATTTCGTCAGCCAGCGGTTTAGCTAGTATATGAATGCAATCTTTAACGAAAAAACTTGGAATACCATCACATCCAGACGTCATTTTGTTCTTTAATCTTTTCGAAGCCCTAATTACGTTTTCTTCACTTATATTTTTTAAGGTCCGTATCGTCAGTCGCCTTTATCGCCTCTTTGATTTTCATAGTTTCCTCTCTCCTTCAGAAATACTGGGGTATTTCTAGATTTCTACTGTTCCCTGTCAGCGCCAGCGACCTCCCATTACCAAGGTATGTTTTCAGGCTGATAAAACAGATGATACATATATATTAAGTGACATAGAAATCCGAACACCCAGTTTAAATGGTTTTATTTTAATAAAAGTTGGTGAATGAATCTTACTGTAAATAACAAGTGAAAAAATTTTCAGCCTTATCAGTTGGACATTCCGGTTTTTAACCAGCTTTTTTTTTAATTCACTAACGCTCTAAAAATGAATATTTCAGCCGCAGTAAAGAATCAACGTTGGCGGATTTAGTGAGTTTGATAGGGGCCGTATAGTGGGACTTCGGGAAGCTGGGCTTTCTTTTCGGGCAATTGCAGTTAGAGTGCAAAGAAGTGTAGACACTGTGGTTAGGTGTTGTCAGGCATGGCTTCGAGAAGGCCGTACGCAAAGAGCAAGGGGCACTGGACGCCACCGTAGAACAACAGACCGTGAAGATCGCCGCCTAAGATTATTGGCCTTAAGGGACTGTTTCTCCACTACCAGGTCCATTGCAAATGAATGGTTTGCAGAACACGGAAGACCTATTGGCATGCGAAGTGTTTACCGACGAATGAGAAGTTTTGGCTTGTTTTCATACCGGCCACACTGGGTCCTCCCTTTAACACGAGAACACCGACGTAATCGCCTTGAGTGGTGCAGACAACGGTCACTGTGGGATCAGGAATGGAACAGTATTGTCTTTAGTGACGAGTCTCGATTTTGTTTAGGCATGCACGATC